GCCATGACATAATCGTCAAAAATTACCCGAGTCGGTAGTCGAAAACAATGCCAAACGAACTTATAATTATCTTTACTTATCCGACACTAAAACCTGCAAAAACAATAATGAATATTTATCCGATCTTATTACTCATAAATACGTATATTTGTATTAGTAAATCAACAAAAGAAGTTATTACGAAAAAGGTAGTGATGTGCTGTGGAAGCACTTTTGGAAGCTTCCAATTTTATACCATTGGGAAGCATAGAATTGGAAGCATAGAATGCACATCACTGTTAAAAAGGTAAGTAACAAATCATTATTAATCAAGATTGCTTTCATTGGTCCGGTTTTACAGTTTTATTACTATAATTAAAGCGAAAAATAAAACATTAAATACATTTTAATGCATGGACTAATATTATCAAAGCGAACGGTTCTACGATCGATCACTGTGCATATAACATTTTGTAATACTAAAAACGTTCCCATTACACATGAATTTTTTTAGAGATATAGATATAGATTGGATTTAGATTTAGATTTAGATTTAAATATAATTATAAAATAGATTTTCAATACTTTTTAGCATTTCTTTTATATTAATTACTTCAAAAAAAAATGTATTTTGCATAATTAAATATAATTATTATCACTATTAATATTTACTATATATTAATAAAAAATAAGTTTTTTTTTATTCCTTTAATGGTAAATATATAAATATTGTAAAATTGTAATATTTTAACATTAGCTGACAAAAAAAACTCTGTGTTAATTACCAAAACCAAAAATGATCAACAAAAAAAACAGAAGGAATAATAGTAACAAGTTTATAAAACTTGCTTTACTTGCCAGCAAATAATCAACAACAATGGCCTGCTAAGAAACAGTTTATTAAAACATTTTACAACCAGAAACTTTTACTTTAAATGAAAGTTTTCCAAAAAACATAATTGATAATATAAAAGTTAAGTTAATTCCCATTTTTTTAAAATAAAGAAAAGACTTCTAAAACTACTAATAGCATTGATAAAGCTTCTTTAGATAAAGACCAAGCTTATGATATCTTTGAAAATAGTCTTAATAATGACAAAATAAAAAAAGTATATTTACCTTAAGCAAAATACTGAAGCTTTAATTTACTTTGCCAACTATATTACAAATATTTTTTATTTAAAAAAATGAATTAAGAAAAATAAAATAAAGCATATAATATTCTTATATTCTATTATGTATCCTATTAATGTATTTGTAAATAATCATTTTAAAATTTAATTTACTTCTCATATGAAAGCTAATAATATAATTATATTTCAATTATTATATTTAGATAATATTATATTTTACTCTTTATAAATAAATCTATTATAAAATATATTTTAAAGCTGTCAATCTAACTTACAAAAATTCTGATTTTAATTATAATCAAATATTAGATCAATCTTTTTCCTTTTAGAAAGATTGTTTATTGTATTATATCAATAAAAAATTTATAACAAAAGTAACATTACCTTTAAACAAGATACTGATATAATAACTAAATAGTTATTTTATCTTTAAAGATCTTATTTGTATTTACCCATATATAATGACTATTAAAGATATTAGAAAAAATTTGCATTTTTTTAAACTTATCAATTTTCCTTTTAATATTAATGAATAATACTTGATCTATTTGTAGTACTATCAAAATAATCATCTATATACAGAGGGTAATGTTATCATAGGACATTGATGGGATACTGATAGGATATTGATGGGATAGATAAGATATTTAAGACATAGTTGGGACATATAGCTGGGATAACAAATCTCTAGAACATCAAAAATGGACATCACTGACAGTGGGTGATCACAAAGTATTTGAATAATTAAAAAAATATTTGAATTTACTTATTATATTAACTTTTTTTTTAGAATAAGCAAAAATTTATTTGTTCTGAATATTTCTTATATATTTTACATATTTTATTAAAAAAAAATAAAAACTAATACTTTGTTGAATTCTCTTCAGCTGCTATATATGCTTAGATTCAATAAGACATATTTTTAACTAAATTTTGAATATACTCAAGTAGAATTGAACACTAAGCATATTTTACCTTATACTCTAAATCTTTTATATTTTTAGGTTGATTAGATAAATTACATACTTTTTTATCAACTTCATTTCAAAGATTTTTAATAGAATTTAAATCAGAACTTTGTATAAGTTAGGGTAGTATAAAAATCTTAGAGGTATTATAAATATCAGCAGCAATCTTTGCTCAATGAAGTAACGTATTATCCTTTTAAAAAATTCTTTGTTTACAAGAAATTAATTTATAAATTGAAGGAATAGCTTACTTTTATAATACTTTTGTATATCTTTATCCTTATATATTTGCAAAAAAAATAAGAAGTCTCAGCCCATATCACAAAATGCATTCTCAAAACATTCAGCTAAGACTGTGCTTTATTATAACACTTAAACAAAAAGGTCAAATTTTTCTTCTGATATACATCACATATGTAACTATGACCTTGTAAAAATTAGTTAAATGTTGATTTATCAGACCATATAATTTTGCAATTATTCAATCTTCTCATTTTAATATTTAAGCCAATCCTTTTTCTTTATTATTTTCAGAAAATTAATAGTTTAAAATAGGTAATATATGAATGTAAACTGATTTTTTTAAGAGTCTAACAAATTGTAACAGTTAAAACTTTCTTTTTTAGTTCATAATTCTTGAATTTTTGAGTGATAAGACAATAATACTTTAAATTTTGTGTAATAATCTTTTTAAGTGAGAATTATGTATTTGAATTAAAAAATAACTTTAGGTCACAATGTTTTTTAGTATTGCAGATCCAATTTTTTTAAAACATTTTATCACATTATAAATAATTATTTTACTATATTGAATAATATTAGCAATTTTTTGATATGAATTACCTTGTTTGTGGCTGTAAAGAATTGCTTTATATTGTTCAGCATTCAATTCTTTTATTTTAATCATTTTGTTTAAAAGAAAATTATTGTTATTATTATGATCAACATCTATTTATATTCTAAACAAATATTTAAATAATATATGTAAATAATATAAACAAGGTAAATAAATAAAAAATACTTATTATTCAGTATCTATGATTATCTTCTGTATATACGTTCAAATTATTATATTTATTAATGCAAAATATTTTATTAATTATAATTTTATATATTTTATTATATATAATTATAGCAAATAAGATTAAATTACAAATATTACATATTATTATATTAATCATTTTTTGAATTTATTTAAATTGTTTAATTTAAATTCTTTAAAATATGAAACAAATTTATAGTTTTCTATATTTATTTATAAATAATAACCTTTAAACTTTTTTTTATCAAAAAGAAACATTCTTTAACTTTAAACAAAATAGAATAAATTTTAAATAAAATAAATTATAATAAGAAACTATTTATTTCATTATTTTTTAGAGTTTTTATATTTGCTTATAAAAAATATAAAAATATATATTTAATTATCTAACTTTACTATTATTTAAAAAATAATACAATGCTTAATCTAAAATTTATTTAATTCAATATAGTTTATTATAATATAAAAGATTATAAAATTATTAAAAAATTTTAATCTTTTACTGATATTTTAATACAAAAATATGCTATTTATTATAGATTAAATAAATTTATTAAAGATTTAAAAATTTAAATAAGTAGGTCACATTAAATTTATTATCAAAATTTAGTTTATTAGCTTTGATAAATATATAGTTATTAGTATTTTGTATAGATATTAAATATAATTCTTTTAATTATAAAAGCATATTATCAAATAAAAAAATAATGCTTAAAGAATAAATATTAAAAATATTTAATTTTCTTTACTTTAAATTAAATGATAATATTGATATTAATTTACTAATTAGTGAATAATAGATGAACTCATTTTATAAAGATAAAATTGTAATTTATAAATAAATAATTAATTAATTAACTCAAATAAAATTTGTTAGTATATTTTACAGTAATAATTTCAGCTAAAATTATATTAATTTTGGTTAGAATTATAATTATAATTTTTTTAATAAAATTGTAAAAATTATACATAATTTTTAAATTATTATGATAATACATCTTAAATAACTTAATTTATAAATATTTTAGAATAACTTGCAAAATTATTAAAGACTTATATTTTATTATTGAAAATGTAATAATAATTGAAAAGATTTTTAATATTAATACATTACTTTTATATTAAATAAATCTTTTCAATAAAATTTTAATAAGAATAATATAGTAATTGAAGAGAATATCTATATTACTGATTTTAATATTATGATAATATTATCAATAAACAAATTTTTGAATTATCTATTCTAAGAGAAGATATCTTATTAAAAAACTAACTTTGAAAATAATATATTAAAGCTAGTTGTACTATTTTCAATATATATTAACTTTTGTAATTTCAATTAAATATTACTTTAAATGTCTTTATTACTATTACTGAGGTTACTTTTCTATTTAGTTATAAAAAAGTAGCTAAAGATAATTTTATCATCTTTTCATTCAAATACCTTTAATAATTAATAATTTTAATAAAAATAAATGAGTAGATTTTAATAATTAAATTTTAATACTAAAAAATCATAGTAATATATTTTCACAATTTAATATCACTATTCATAATATATGCTCATTTTTTAATCTCAAAAATAACAATTTTAATTAATAACTATAAATTCAATAATTTTTACATAATAGAATTACTTCAAATCTAATAATAATATATTATAATTTAATAAAATAACTTTAATACTTTTAATTTAATTAAAAACATAAATCTCTATTTTCAAAGTTAATCTTTTTATCAAAAATCCTTTTAGATTACATATTTAAATATTATAGTTAATACAGATAATATATTTATAATTTAGAAACAAATTTTATATTAGAGTAAATAACTGCTACATTTCAAGTTCTAATTCTATTTTTTATAAACAAACATACAAAAATATATATAATATTATCAAATCAGCATGTAATCTTAATATAAAAATTATTTTAATTGAAAATAAAGCTTTGAATCTAACTTGATAAGTTAGATAATCTAATAGATTATCCTAAAAAAATTTGAATCAGATTAGATGATTGATCTGACTTAACCTGATATAACCTAAATTTTTTAATTAAAAAATTCAAAATTTAATTATTTTATCAATATTAATTCATTTAAGATAAAATAAGTATTATTTGATTTCTTTTACAAGATAATTAAATGAAATATATATTATTAATTTTAAATTATTAATTGCTAAGATATAGTTAATTTATATTACTATATAAAATTTTATAACATATATTATAAATTAATATATAAATACAAAATATATATAATTTTATTAATATTAATTTATTTAAAATAAAATAACTACTATTTGATTCATCATATTAAATAAATCTAATAGATTATAATATATTATTTATTAATTACTAGATATTAAAATATCTTAAATAAACTGTTTTTTAATATAACCTGTGACTTAATCTGTAATCTGACCTAATCTGTTTAGAGCTCTAGTTAAAATTAAAAGAATTATTAAATTTTATATAAATTAGATAATTATTTGCAAAAAATTAAAAATTTCATTTATGTAATTATATTTTAATTAGAGTTCTGGATAGATTAATTTAGATCAGATCGATCTAATTATCTGAATTGAGAGGATCAGATCAAATCAAATAAAAATT